ATTCGAGCCAGTTATGCAAACCCTCGACGTCGTTTCGGGTTGGCATGACTGTCTCGAATTCTCCCAGCCCCCCTCGTGTTTATATCAGGCTATGCAAACACGGAAACGTTTTCTATTGCTTAAATAATGTGCCAAAGCAAACGCAATTCTTAATATTCCTAATAGCTCTCACAAAAGGTTACAAACACTTAAAAAGTCGCCTTTCAGACTAGACCGGTATCCTGACAAGATAAAAGTGCTTTTATATGCAAAGGAAACCGAGCTATATACTCGCTCAGCTTTGACTAATATAAGCGTTATTGTACTTTCGATATAACGAAACAAGACGTTTGTTGTAAGCTTAATGATTTCAATTAAAACCACAAATAAAATAAAATCCAACCTATAAAGAACCTTGTACGCCATTAACAAGGTACAACAACAACAAAAAACAGTTTTACCGACAGCGCAGAGTATCTCACGCTCATTTCGCAATTTTTTTGAAAGAGCAAATATTCGTGAAGAAGTAGATTTGGCCATGCAAATTAATTGAAATACGTACAAATTCGAATTGATCCAAGGTACTTGTTGTGAATATTTAGAATTGAAAAACATTGTAAAAGGAAGGTGAGAAAATTCGCCTAAAAACAAAACAAAACAAAACACGCACAGAAAAAACACGAAAGAAAGCATAACATTTATGCAAAACGCAGTTCTTGCCAACTGTTGTCGTTAAGTGTAAAGCGGGTTATTCTGGCAGGATCACTGATCACCTGTCTTAACAGACGAACAGCGGAATGAAATTAATAGCCAACTGACTGAATAAACGAGTTTCTGGAGATGCCAAATAACAAGCCAAGACGCATAAACAAGACGGGCAAGAAAAATAAAAACAATTAAAAAAAACTGTTCGGTGGAATTGAACCGAATGTCAACATCAACAGCACAGCTGTCTAGTTCTAACATGCTAGACTACTGTTTTTACACAGGATGAACGAAAATAAGTGAGATTATCAAGATAGCTAACCGCTGTACCTCGCCTTACTTGTTTTCTCTTTGAAATCTCTTATAGTTACATATTGTGTTACCTGGTTAAACGTCGCGCAGGAGAAAGAAAAAACCCTGGTGCCCAGGGTGACTGTCGGTCTGTCAAAAGACAACTTTTCCGGGACAAATTTACAGCTGATGCGGGCTACTAGATGCCATGCGCGCGCGATCACACTGCACACTGCGGACTGAACATAAACAAGGCCTGCACTACCTTGAAATCGAGCAATAAGTAACCTCAAAAACATATATTGTCAGATGACAAGACCGTTAACCACTAAATTTAAAATAGAAGCTAACACGCTTTAGAGCTAAGACTCAAACGATCACCTTATAACCTAAACCAAAGCGAATTCGAAGTTAAAGTCGCTTTTTACTGCTGTGAGGCAAGAAGGACAGCTTTAATAGGGAGCTTAAGCAGCGACGTTTTTGAGCGACGCACGTCAACCGGAACTGAGCCTTTTTCTCTTGTAATAAGCCTTTACGCTACCGTATTTGTATTGCCAAGTGTCTTAATTCTTAAAGGGACGATTTGCCCAAAAATTTGCTCAGAAGCACGACTCAAGTGTGCAAAAAGTCTATTTCCGGTTGACGTGCGTCGCTCAAAAACGTCGCTGCTTAAGCTCCCTAATATTTTATACCGTGTACGTGCCGTAACAGCTTGTCACGTGCTCCGGTCACGCGCCGGGCTCCATGTCAGGTGGCTAAAGGCTCAGATCTATACAGAGCGGACAAAAGCACCAAATTTTGCATGGTTGTAGCTTAGGGCATGTTAGCCAATATTAGGATCGGTGCCCACAGCTACCTCTTCAGGATTTGCAGCAACTGCTCGCTGAAGTTCTTCAACTACCTTCCATGATGGGTGCCCTGTGCTGAAAATTGCAATCCCTTGTTTTTTGCCATTTTTTGATGAAAATCGCATAAAAAGGCAAGTAGATGGAACAAGAAACTGTATTAATACTATTATTATTGAAACCAATGACTAAAACAAGTCAACTTAATGATATAGCAATTATGAGATACCATGGTGGGTACCCTGTGCTAAAAATATCAATTTCTTGATTTTTGTCATTATTTTGATGAAAGTCACATGAAAGACAAGAAAATAAAACACGAAATTGTATTATTATTGAAACCAATGACAAAAACAAGTCAACTAAATGGAAAATCCAAGGAAGATGTTTTCAGACGCATACTAAGTCCCAAATAGCTTTTCAAGATGGCGGCTTGAAGGTGTCTTTTCATGGACTGTTAAGTGTCTGCTAAAATAAATTGTCGTTTTTTAGGGGAAATTGTGCACAATTTGAATCACGACAGATTTAAGTGAAGTTTTAAGCTCTTCTTGGTGATAAATTTGTTACGGAAAGCCACATTTTCGCTTCATATTTTGGGCCGATTATGAATGACTACACTGAGTTTATTAACTTACTGGTTAGTTAAAGGTTTCTGAAGCTGAGATGTTTTCTACACACCAGGATGGATATAAACTGGGATCGTTGTTATGTTTGCCAAGAATCAACAAAAGAAGACCTGAGAAGCCCACTGGTTTAACGGTACAAGCATTAATTCATAGAACACTCCTTGAAAATGTACTAAAAAGGCTGACTTGCGAAATAGGCATACATGTCAGAGGAACGAAAGAAGAAAAGTGGAGCAGCTTGGAAGGCCGAGGAAGACGGGAAATTAAATAAATCAAGAGCATTTGTTGAACTCACTGAGCACATAGCAAATGAAGTGGAGAATGATACACATTTCTTTATACTTGCCGAACTTCATATTAAGCTGTATTTGTTACAAACAAAGGCACACACTTTGCGGTCCCACTATAGTGTCTTACAAGCTTGTTTGGTGCCACAATCTCCAACTTGCTGTTTCTGATCTGCTTCAACATTCTTTTTTCTCTTTTCTAGTTTGCTTTTTCTAACTTGGACGTAAGGTGACAGGATTGATGCAACTTTGCACTTCAGTAATGTGTTTACTACTGTAGTGATTTCAATATCAAACTTAATTGCAACAAGAAGACAGTCCTCTTTCTTGAATTCTAGCACATTGTCAAGGAGCGTTCTATAAATAATTGTTCCTTTAAATTAATGGGTTTCTCACATCCTCTCTTTTCGATTCTCACCCTGGGTAAATATGAAAACTATCCCAACTGGTTTCCGTCTTGAATGTAGAAACGAGCTGAAACTCAATCATGATAAGACTGAAATCATGCTTATCTTGTCGATGTACCGTACTCGTCCACCCTTTAGCGACGTCATTATGGGTAATGCAAGGCTAAGAACCACCACCAACAAAGCTAGGGATTAGCATTTGATGACAACGTGCTGTTTGAGGTACACCTCTCAACATTCTTTTGCAGATTATCGTTTTACCAACTCAGGAACTTATCAAAGATAAGAAAGTGTCTCACACAGGAGTCTAAGGAAATTGCAGTGCATGCTTTTATTAAATCTAAAACAGACTATTAATTGCAATTCCTTGCTCTGTGGTTGTAGGAAAATGCACTTGAAGGAACTTTTAATAATATGTTCAGAACACTGCCCCCAGGATCGTTACTCGGACTCTTAAACTTTGCGAACACATCATTTATTTGACCTTCACTGGCTTCCTGTTAGTTATCACGTTGTTTTTAAACTTATTTTGTCAGTTTTCAAATCACTTAATAACCTTCCACCTAGCTATCTAGCGGACAGACTTAGTTATCAAAGGCCTTCCAGAAAATTGTGGTCCGCATCTCAGCAGCTCTTAGAACAACCTCGAAAACTCACGGGGAAAAGACTTTATCAGTGTGCGCCCCTAAACTGTGGAACTCACTACCATTAGCTAGATTTGCGCAAGTCACCATCTTTAGCCAGTTGAAAGAAAGGACTGAGAACAAATCTTTTTACGCAATTTTTAGAGAGTAAGTCAAAATTTTTGTAAAACGTCTTTAATATTTTAATATCTGCAGATCCTATAACTATACATATAGAATGTATATTTAGTTTTTTGCATGACTTATTATCATTATATATATAAAACTTCAAAGGCAAAATAATTTTAAAACAGATGAATTCTTGTTTCCTTTTCTTGTTCTTTGTGAATTGCAAATAGATTTTAATATATGTTATTTCAAGCTCGAGATATAATTTTTTTCCTCTTTAACATTGCAAAGCACCATGTGCTCAGGATATGAGCGCTATAGAAAGAAGCTATTTTTACTATTATTAATTTTAACCAGTACGAAAATAAACTCACTATAGTCATTCATAATCGGCACAAAATGCGAAGAGAAAATGTGGCTTTCGGTAACAAATTTATCACCAAGAAGAGCTTAAAAATTCACTTAAACCTGTCGTGATTCAAATTGTACACAATTTCCCCCCTAAAAAACGGCAATTTATTCTAGCAGATACTTACAGTCCATGAAAAGACACCTTCCAGCCGCTATCTTGAAAGGCTATTTGGGGCTGAGTGCGCATATCAAAACATCTTCCTTGGATTTTCCATTTAG